AAAGTTATTAACTTACCCTTTTTAGAAGCTGACCCATTTAAATATTACTCTTCTGACTGCTAGTTCTCTTTTGTTATTCTTGATGTCCTAAGACAATTCTAATCTGGCATCTGGAGGTTAGGGTCTCTCTCTTTTTTCCTTTTTTTTTTTTTTTCCTCTTGAGCAATCCTGAACACCTGTATCTCTTTGCTAAACTGGGATCCTCTATTTCGACTCTTTGCAGGTAAGGGGACTTCATTCAGAGAGCTTTATACTGCCTGACCAAAGAACAAATCTGAAAACCACCGTGTTAAAGCTCTTACTTTTTTCTGTTCACCAAAGCTTAAGTGAAGAGGACTTTTGACTTTATTATATCCAAAATCAGCTTGTCTTTTAGTAGCCATCAAGTAATTATGGAGGAAGGATCAGGAACAGAATGGAAGAACACTGTGTGAAAGTAGTTTTGCACGTCTCTGTTTTTGAAATCACTCCTTGAACTGGTAAAAATACTCAGTCCAAATTCTCCTGGGTATCTTGTCATCAGCTGTGGTGTTTGTGCAGATACACGTAGGGGAGGACAGAAGCAATATGATTGTTGGGGAAGTTTTGTTTTCACGTCTTACGTTACCTTTGGTCACTCTCAACATCTTGAGAGCTTCAGCCTTTGAAATACTCCAAGGTTTTGTTTTACTTTTTTAAACAATAGAAAAGGTGAATGAAAGAAGCAAGTAGAAATGCAGGGACTATTTAGCATGTGTAAATGGAAGTAAAGAGATTGTGTCAACTAAGTAGTCCTGTAAAAATACATTGCTAACCTTTCACATCTAGTTCCTCACCACAGAACCCCACTAGAGCACCAGAGTTTGCACTGTAGTTACTATCAAATGTTGTAGGGTTTGCAAAAGTCACAAACTTTAAGCAATGAACTTACCTGCTACTCTTTTTACTTTGGCTTGCATGAAGTCACTGCAATTTAAAATGTCAGTATGGGCATTTAAATATATATATATCTATATATATCTATGTATATATATATATATAGATATATATATAGATAGATAGATACACACACACACACACATCACTTTGCTGGTGCAAAGTTATGTCAGGATAAATGTAGTTAAGTTACAAGTTTATTTTTGAAGAGACAAAGCTGTGAGGCAAAGCAGGATATCTGCTTTCTAGAGAACAAAATGTTACACTTGCTGGTTGTCTCTTCTTGGAAACTGTAATATAAATCTAGGGTCCAGTCATATCACAAGTATCATTATTTAACCAAGCATCTGGGGAAATACAGGTGTATATATAAATACAGTCATTGGGAATGAGTAGACATAGGTATTGTTTGATGCATGGTTTAACACAGCCTGATTCACAAATCTGATGGGATGCAAACAGGTAGCAGCTAACTATTACTGCCAAAGCTGAGAATCGGAGTCAATCAGTAGAGATGGGGCTAAGCTTACCACTTTTTCTCATCCCTCTTTCTATTTAGCATTGCCTTTATCCATTTCAGGTTTATAAGACCTTTTTTTGCAGATCACATCAGAAACCAGGAAATTTATACCTAGGAGACATCACAATCACAAAGAATGGATCAAGAGGCAGTGGCAGATTCTCCTCCTGCCTTTATTTTAAAAGCTTTACCCCAGAATATGGCATATGCTCTACAGCAAGTAAATATGCAAAGAGTATTTTCAGGACTGGGGTCTTTGGAGCACTTCAACTTTTTGCTTTGCTCTAGAAAATGTCTTCCCTTTAAAAAGCACCCTAGGAGCACCTGGGTGGCTCAGTTGGTTAAGTGTCCTACTCTTGATTTCAGCTCAGGTCATGATCTCATGATTTGTGAGTTCATGCCCTGAGTTCGGCTCGAGCTGACAACACAGAGACTGTTTGGGATTCTCTCTCTCTCTCTCTCTCTCTCTCTCTCTCTCTCTCTCTCTCTGTCCCTCCCCCACTCACATGCACACTCCTCATACTCTCTCAAACTTAAAAAAAATCATCCTAGTCTAGGGGCACCTGGGTGGCTCGCCTGGGTAAGCGTCCAACTCTTGATTTCATCTCAGGTCATGAGCCCCAGTATCATGGGATGGAGCCCCGCGTGGGGCTCTGTGCTGAGCGTGAAGCCTGCTCAAGATTCTTTCTCTTTCCCTCTGCCTCTCTCCCCATCTCGTGTGCGTGCTCTAAGAAATAAAAAAATAAATCATCTCCAGAACCCCCAAATACTGCTTGCTTGTTTGAAGAACTTGACATCTTAGTCCTGTAGTTACTATCTTAAGTTTTCATGATAGGGTGAGGACTTCAGAAGGTCACAGCATCCTTCTTCCTGATGCAGTCATGCAAGGTGAACAGAAATACCCTGTACAACTGCTAAGGGCTAGGTGTTTGCTCAGTGCCCTTTCAGAAGCCCAGGAATTGAATATTCTGCCAATGATTTTTCTCTGTAATCCCTCCCTCCTATATTTGGCCTTTCTTTCTCTACCTTCCGATTCTTGATTGTTAGCATTTCAAGTCCAGAGAAAACATACGTGGTGGTGCTGTGTTTGGAGGATTGCTAGGTCAGATACTCTTTTCTTGGGACACTCAGCCTTACCTTTCAGGGGAGATAGTGAGCTTCTTTGTGCCCTACTTGAGGGAACTTATATCTAAGTTTTTTATGACTATTACAGTCTAGCTGAACTTCCTAGTGTTTAATATGCTCTGCTTCATTTCTGTTAGTGAAAACCAGGAGAAAATGGCTTACGTGGAGAGATTTCCTGGCTTCTCAGGGAAGGGGGAAAAGCCACTACCTCCCTGTTTTTCCCCCCACCCCGCCCCCTTTCCTAATTGATAAGGCTCTGGCCCCAATCATACCAGATTGGGCAGCTTAGGCAGTGAAGAAAAAGAATTTGGGCAATTCTTGTTTTGTAAGAATTTGTCGGGATGTGGCAAAACCATCGACAGGAGATCAAATACAACTGACTGTGTCCTGGCTCTCTCAGGTGTGTAAAGGAACTGCCACCCCACCCCAGGTGGGTCTTCCTCTCCCTGAGTTCTCCCAGGGGGGTCACCAGGCTTTTAATCTCCCTGGTGGAACCCAAAGCGTGTTGAAAAGGGAGTGGGGGTGTTTTCTCCTGTCTGCCTTCATGAAGTTCAGAACTGTTGACCGTCTCCCACAGGTAAAATCAGCATAGGCCGAAGGGGTCATGAAGCGGGGAGTCATGAAAATCAAAAGATTCTTCTTGGCTGTTGAGCAGCTATTTGCTTAAATGCAGCCCGAGAACATAAGATAAACTGCTACCTGCTTAACACGGAAGCTCAGTGCCCCTCAGGCATCTTAATCCATTAAACCAGTTAATCAAAATCCCTTCCACGCGGAGAAAAGCATATCTATCTTCTCCTCAGCTTTGACCACAGGAAATGTAGTGTTTGGGCTCCTGCCCAATTCCTGTGTGCCCAGATAGCCTAATGAGAAAGTTGGCTTCCTGCCTTCTCATCCAGAAGAGACACCACGACCAGCCAATGATCCTTTTGCTTTTAATTTTATGGACAATGTTGCCCCTTCTGTCATCTCCAGTGACTTCTGTTTTCCAAGCACCTTTCACTATAGACTGAGTCTTTTTTAGGTGGAAACCAAAGGAGTTAGCTTGATACTTACTGAAGTTGTTTAGTCTTCTCTGGTGGGTCTGGCAGTCCACGCTTGGAGGTGGCTTGATGGGGTAGCTGTGGGCAAGGTCTTGTTTACTACACAGTGCACATGATAGATGGCCTTAAACTGTGATTCTTTGTGGTATGATGAGTTATTATAAACCGATCCTAAAGAATGCAATGGTTCTTAAACTGCAGTTACACGTTTTTATTGAAGCAATACCCAGAGCTCTGTTCTTTGGAGTGGTTGTGGGGACAAGAGCAATACCCTCATGTGCCAAGTGTCCTGCCTTGTTGCCATCTCCATGGATAAGTGGATCCCTCCATGCGTGAGGACCCTTGAGTCAATTCAGAGCCTGCGTTTTCTGACAATTCTCAGGTTTCTTGTGCAAAGCTTGGTCGCTTGGCCCAGGCCTTCAAAGGGAGTGTGGGACATATTCCTGACTGGGGTGGATGGTAACTTGTCTTCACCCTTAACATTAGGTCATGTTCCCTCAGTGATGTTAAACCAGTGGTTGGAGTGATAAAAAGCATCCTTGGGGCGCCTGGGTGGCGCAGTCGGTTGAGCGTCCGACTTCAGCCAGGTCACGATCTCGCGGTCCGGGAGTTCCAGCCCCGCGTCGGGCTCTGGGCTGATGGCTCAGAGCCTGGAGCTTGTTTCCGATTCTGTGTCTCCCTCTCTCTCTGCCCCTCCCCCGTTCATGCTCTGTCTCTCTCTGTCCCAAAAGAAATAAATAAACGTTGGAAAAAAAAAAAAAAAAAAAAAAAAAAAAAAAAAAAAAAAAGCATCCTTGATGGTTCTTTACAGGATACTGGTGAAATCACCATGTCAATTCAGCCAGCATGTCCATACAGTCTTGATGATCCCTCTCTGTAGAAAGGTAGCAAACATTAAGAGAAGGGGGAAAGAGAATAAGAACAGAGAGATAGCTTATGGGGAGCTGAGAGCTTGTTTTGTTGGCCTTTGTTTTTTTTTGTTTTTTTTTTCCATTGACCAATTTGCCTGTAAGCTGGACTTTGCAAGAGGTGCTGTGATAACCCCTCTCCATTGCTGGGATGCTTATCTAATCTGAGAAAGTGTGAGAGGGGGAAATGTAAATAAAAAATGTTAAATTCTAGTACTGTGTTAAAATGTCACTCTTCTCTCTTTCTCCCTTATCCCCATCTACCTTTTTTGCCAGACGATTTTTTTTTTTTTTAACCTTGGATGACTGTGAAGCTATAAATAATGGGTTGGGTCAGGTGTATCAGTTATCAGTTTTGAGAGCACATGTTAAGAACTGAAGGGGGACTACTTGAAATGACTTAAGAATCATCCCATGCAAATAATATTGTTTTGCCCAAATAAACTATTCAGAAAGCTATCTCCGCCTTTATTCATTCAACCAGTAAATATGGAGTGTTATTTCCATGTCAGGCTCTGGCATTACCAGTACCAGCAGCAAACAAATAAGCATCCGGACACATACATCATTTTACAAACTGGTAAGTCTGTGAAGGAAAAGTAAAGAGCATGATAAAAACAGGTAACCAGTATGGTTTAGACAGAGGTGATACAGAAAACATTTCTAAGGCATGAGGGATCCAAAAGAAAGTGTGACTGATGCTCTGTGAGCAAAGGGAAGGATGCTGGGGTGCAGGGGTGGGGGGAGGTGGTGCTGATGAAGAGGGGGCAGAGGCTTGCTGCCCTGGGCTGTCAGGGTGCGGGGTTATCTTATGCATTGGGGAAAACCAGTGTGGAGTTGCAAGTGCTGAAAAAGATCACCACTAGAGTCCTTTTTTTTTTTTTTTTGTAGACATTGGCAAGTTGGTAAAATGCACATAGAAATGCAAACAACCAAACAATTTTGAAAAAGAATTTGTACTACCCGATTTCAAAACTTGCTACAGAGCTACAGTAACCAAGACTGCATTTGGCATTAGGATGGTCATATTGAACAAATAAGACAGAATAGAGTCCAAAAATAGTGCTCACTTCGGCAGCACGTATACTAAAACTGGACCGGTACAGAGAGCATTAGCACGCCTCTGCACAAGGATGACACACGGATTTGTGAAGACTTCCACATTTTTGAGTGATGTATAGAATTGTTCAATCACTATATTGAACACCTGAAACTAATACAACACTGTGTTAATTATACTGGAATTAAAATTTAAAACTTAATAAGAAAGTCCAGGAATAGACCTACACATATATGGTTAGTCGATTTTTGACAAAAGTGCCAAATTAATTCAATGCGGAAGGTACAGTTAGTCAACTAACGGTGCTGGAACAACTGAATATCTAGGGGGAATGACCTTCAACTCTTCCCTCACATATGCAACAGTTAAAGCAAAGATCTGAACATAAAACTATAAAACTTCCAAGAGAAAATAGAAAAATCTGTGACTTTGGATTAGGCAACGATTTCTTAGAACACAAAAAGCATGGCTCAGAAATACTGATAAGCTGGACTTATCCAAATGAAAACTTCAAGGGACGCCTGGGTGGCTTGGTTAAGCATCCAACTCTTGGTTTCAGCTCAGGTCATAATCTCATGGTTCGTCAGATTGAGCCCCATGTCGGGCTCTGGGCTGACAGCATGGAGCCTGCTTAGGATTCTCTCTCTCCCTCTTTCTCTGCCCCTCCTCTCTCTCTATCAAAATAAATAAATGAACTTAAAAAAATGAAAACTTCAAGTTTCCACAAAAGGAAAATGCAAACTCCAGACTGAGATAAAACATGCATAACACATATCCAATAAAGGCTTTCTATCCGGAAAAAAACCCTTAAAACCCAATAAGGCAAGGCTATTCAATAAAAAATAGGCAAAAGATTTGAACACTTTTTTTTTAAGATTTTATATTTTTTAAGTAATCTCCATGCCCAGCGTGGGGCTCAAACTCACAACCCCAAGATCAAGAGTCTCGTGCCTTCCAAACCTAGCCAGCCAGATGCCCCAAAGATTTGAACAGAATTGTCACAAAAGGAGATGTGCTAATGGCCAGAAAAGCACAGGGAAAATGTTCAACATCACTGGTTGTCAGGGAAATGCAAATTAAAACTACACTAAGATTCCACTACTCACCTACCCACTACAATGGCTGAGTTAAAAAAAATTTTTTTTAATGTTTATTATTTTTGAGAGACAGAGACAGAGTGCAAGCAGGGGAGGGGCAGAGAGAGAGCGAGACACAGAATCCAAAGCAGGCTCCAGGCTCTGAGCTGTCAGCGCAGAGCCCGATGTGGGGCTCGAACTCACAGACTGCAAGATCATGACCTGAACTGAAGTAGGCCCTTAACCGACTGAGCCGCCCTGGTGACCCTAGAATGGCTGAGTTTAAAAAGAATTACAATACCAAGTGTTGACAAAGGTATGGGAATACAAAGTGTATGGCCATTTGAGAAAACAATTTGGCAGATTGGGGCAGTGATTTCATCCACCTAAGAGAAGCATGCCCACACTTGCACTTGAATATTCACAGCTGCTAGATTCACACCAGCCCCAAACTAGAAACAATCCAAATGCTGTCATTGTGAGTGGCAAGGACGTTGTAGTATTATGTTCATGGGATGGAATACTGCTCAGCAATGAAGAGGAACAAATCACTGATACCTACAACTGTATGGATGAGTCTTAACATGCTCAAATAAACCAAACACAAAAGAATTCATAAATATGATTCTATTAATACAAAAATCTAGAAAGGCAAAAGTAACCCATGGTGACAGAGAGGGGTAAGTGGTTGCCAGGGAGCTAAGATTGGGAAGGTAGGAATGAAGTGCATCCAACAGGATTTTCAAAAGATAATTTTGGGGCGCCTGGGTGGCTCAGTTGGTTAAGTGTCTGACTTCAGCTCAGGTCACGTCTCATGGTTCGTGGGTTCTGGCTCTACACTGGGCTCTGTGCTGACAGCTCAGAGCCTGGAGTCTTCGGATTCTGTGTCTCCCTCTCTCTCTGCCACTTCTCGGTTTGCGCTCTTTCTCAAAAATAAACAATGTTTTTTAAAAAGATAATTTTCAAAAAAACAAAATGATTCTCTTACAGATATAAAAATGAACACGAGTTAAAGATTTTCTTTAACTCCTGAATGAGGAAACTGGTAAAGATATTATAAGCAATCAAAGGAGATACTGAAAAACAAGAACATTTATAGATCAAGAATATTGAAATGGATGTGCAAATGTAGGCAAAACTGGGGGCACCTGGGTGGCTCAGTCAGTTAAGTGTCTGACTTTGGCTCAGGTTATGATCTCACGGTCCATGGGTTCCAGCCCCGCATCGGGTTCTGTGCTAGCAGCTCGGAGCCTGGAGCCTGCTTCAGATTCTGTGTCTCCCTCTCTCTCTGCCCCTCCCCTGCTCGCGCTTCTGTCTCTCTCTCTCTCTCAAAAGTAAATAAAAATTAAGAAAAAAAAATTGTAGGCAAAACTGGTTTCTTCTATACTGGGAGGTCAAATGAACCTCAGAGGACAGGACATAACTTGCATTTCCATATGTAATAACTATTTTACTTTGTTATTCTTGCCTACAACCTATACAGGGCTGTAAAATAGCTCAAAGAATCAAAGAGTAGAATCAGATGAACTCAGAAGCATGTACTGTATGTAGACGATGCCTTGTTTTCCACTGAAGATAACCAAGAGCATTCGTGAGGAGGCAGTGAGAACAGGAGAGGATATAATAGAACCAGTCAGGAGGCTACTACAGCTGTCCAGGTAAGGGGGAGAGGGGCCTGGAGCACAGTGGTAGTGACTGACTCAGACAGGTATGCACAAATGAATGAACTTGAGCTCTGACTTTGAGCTGGCAGAAGGTGTAAAAGTTTGATGAAAAGAGGGGCACCTGGGTGGCTCAGTTGGTTAAGCGTCCGACGTCAGCTCAGGTCATGATCTCTCAGTTCATGGGTTCGAACCCTGTGTGAGGCTCTAAGCTCAGAGCCTGGAGCCTGCTTCAGATTCCATGTCTCCCTGTCTCTCTGCCCCTCCCCTGCTTGTGCTCTGTCTCTGTCTCTCAAAAATGAATAAATGTTTAAAAACTGTTTTTTAAATGCTAAAGAACAAGGTAGTCTCACTTTTTGTCTAGAAAAAAAAAACACAACAGTATGACAAAGCAGGTGCTCAAATGCAGGTTTCTTTGGGCTAACAGTTGAATGTTTACCATGTACCAACCATCTTATTAGGTTGAACCTCATGAAATTGCCAATATTTGGCACTTTTGACCAAAAAATGGTAACTGCACCCTAATAAGAATCCTTAGCATAGATTCTTATTTACTTCTTACACCTGTGAGGTAGGTACCCCCCACCCCCCACTCCCCCACTTTTATAAATGACAAATTCACCAAGAGGTCAAAGAACTTGTCCAATAATATCAACTTCTTAGTAAATGGTAGGAGCCAGATTCAAACCTTGGTGGCCAACTCCAGACCCAGTGTAATCCCTGTGATGCACTACTATTCAAACCACTGCCTATCAACAATAGCCAAAGTATGGAAAGAGCCCAAATGTCCATCGATGGATGAATGGATAAAGAAGATGTGGTAAATATATACAATGGAGTATTACTCGGCAATCAAAAAGAATGAAATCTTGCCATTTGCAACTACGTGGATGGAACTGGAGGGTATTATGCTAAGTGAAATTCGTCAGAGAAAGACAAAAATCATATGACTTCACTCATATGAGGACTTTAAGAGACAAAACAGATGAGCATAAGGGAAGGGAAACAAAAGTAATATAAAAACAGGGAGGGGGACAAAACAGAAGAGACTCATAAATACGGAGAACAAACAGGGTTACTGGAGGGGTTGTGGGAGGGGGGATGGGCTAAATGGGTAAGGGGCACTAAGGAATCTACTCCTGAAATCATTGTTGCACTATATGCTAACTAATTTGGGTGTAAATTTAAAAAAAAATTAAAAACAAAACAAAACAAAACACTGCAGAGCCCTGGCCTGTGCCGCTGAGGATTGGAATGGTTTCTCAGAACTGTGCCCGGGCCCCTAACTTTTTCACTTTGGCTAAACCCAGATCCCAAGATTTACCCCTATGGCATATTTCCTGGCCATCCTCCCAGCACCTCCAGGGATTTGCTATTCCTGCCCTGAAACCAGGCAGCCTTTGTGGTCCCTGAATAGGCCTTCTTCCTAGTGTCTTCCCACAGCTCCTCACTGACCTGTCCAACCGCTCTGCCCCCGCCCTGCATCACTGCGCTCACATTCCCTCACAGCCCCCATCCAGGCCACTAAAATTGTCACTGCCCTTCAGGGTTCCTGATCTCTATCACGAGCTGAGGTTTTATTTCATGACCCGCATATGCTACACGTGAGGATCCCTGCACAAGAGTCTCGCTAGAGGGAGTGGGTGGTCCCATTGTTTTATCCGGGATAAAACTAGGTGACACCCAGTGGCCGGGCTAGATCTCCTGACCACTCCCTCAACGTGTCTAGCTGCTGTGCTCCTGGGCCTCTATCCTCACATCTGAATCTCAACTCTCTCTCGGTTTTTGTGCTCTGAGAACATCCTGAGGAAATCCGGTGCACAGTGGCAGGTGTTTTTCTGGGCTCCACCTCCAGCTGGGGAGCTCGGGGAGCCCTGGAGGAGTTACTTCCCGGCCTTCTTCCCTGAGCAAACCTACCTCGAGGCACAAACAAACATCTGCCCCAGGCCGGAGGGCTCTCACGCTGGGCTGCGGCGCGTTCCCCGCTCGCGGGGTCCTGGGGGTCCGTGTGTCCCCGCGCCGTCTGCGCGCCCGTGGGGAGGGCGACCCGCAGGAGTGGCAGTGCGGAGCCTGAGCGCGCCGTGCCGGCCGGTCGCGACGTCCCCCGAACAGGAATTCGCTCGGGGCTGCGACGGCACCAGCGGCGGGGACAGGGGGCGGGGAGGCGGCCAGATCAAAGAGAGCCGAGACTGTCCGGGCGCGTCGAGGAGCCGCCCCTCCGGGAAGGGCGGGCACATCCCGGGCGCTGACCCCAGAGCCGCGCGGCTCCCCCGCCCCGCGCGTCCCTGCGACCGCCGGTCTCCCCCACCTCCCGCCCCCGCCCCTCGCCCCCCGCGGCCGGCGCGCTCCCGCCCTTGGAGGAGGCGAGGCCCGGCGCGAACGGACGCGCGGGAGCGGCTCCGGAGGCGTGGAGGTTCGGCGCGGAGCAGCGCCGGCAGGGAGACGATGCCTCGACTGCCCGGCCGCGCGGGGCTCCTCCTCGGCGTGGTGCTGCTGGCGGCGCTGCTGGCCGCGGGCCGGGCTCTACCCCTGAGGAAGCCGCGGCCCCGGAGCCCCGCGAGGCTGGCGGAGGTGAGCGGCGGGGAGAGGGGTCGGCGCGGGGCCCGGGGCGCGAGCGGGGACCTCCGAGGGCGGGCGCGGGGCGGGGACCAGGTGCGG